AATTGACCTTATTAAACAGAAAAGATTTCTAAATCAATTATTTCCCAAGTCGAATGCACAAAATGTAGATCTTAATTCAGTAACTACAGACTTTAAATGGTATCACTTCTTCCCCGTTGGGGGTTCCAGCCAGTGTCAGAGATCATGAATGGACCACATAGGTGTATACACATGCACACACACACACGCACACAATTTAGGATGTCACCTTGACTGGGGAGGTGTCTGCACATCTTTACCTAATACTTCACTTCCGTTCAGTGCCCTCTAGGACTCTGCTTGCAAGTATAGTTTTCTGTTATTTTCAAATGTTCCAAACAATGAAACACATTTTGAACTTCAAAGTCTCTGGGAAGATCTACTGTAATCATTACCATTCTGGCCTGTCTTTGGAAGCTACCAGGCAGGCCAGGAGGGCAATTTAGACAGCTGGCTCCAGAGCCAGGGACACACTCCATCACATTCCGCACAGCCTCGGGGGAGGAAAGGCTGGAGCAGTTCTGAGAAGCCTCACTGCAGAAATTAGAGGTCAGAAAGGCCTGACCAGCAGGGCAGGTGGGGGTGTCTGTGCATGGGAGGGGCACGGGACCTGGAGGCAGACAGATCTGGAGTAAATCCTGACTTTTTTTCTTTTTTTCTTTTTTAAATTGAGTTATACTCAATTTACAATGTTGTGTCAATTTCTGGTGTATGGCACAATTTTTCAGTCATACATGAATACACATATATTCATTTTCATATCCTTTTTCACCATGAGCTACTGCAAGATCTTGAATATACTTCCCTGTGCTATATAGTATAAACTTGTTTATCTATTCTATATATACCTGTCAGTATCTACAAATCTAAAACTCCCAGTCTGTCCCCATCCACCTCCGCCCTAAATCCTGACTTCTTCAACCCTGACTTTGCCATTTGTTGGCCATGTCTTTGGACAAGTTAGGTACCTTCTCGGAGCCTCAGTTTCCTCCTCTGTAAAAGTGGGTTGATGATGCCCCCCTTGCATGGTAGGCCCCTACAGTAGTGCTTTATACCAGATTATTGTCATCCATGAGAAGTCATAGACTGGTGAAGGGCTGCCTCATGGCTTGGAGCAGAACAGGGACCACGTGGATGGGGGCGTCTTGCAGGAATGTGGTCTACCCTACTTCCCTGCTAAGACTCCCCTCTGCTCACCTCTGATGGTTATACCTAGCCTCTAGCAGGATGACAAGAACTCACTATTTTGCATGGGAGCCTAGTTCATTTTGAAGGTAGGGGAAAGCATGGTATACAGAAAAATCTGATAATATAGCTTAAATCTGGGCTAGTTGTATGACCTTGGAAAAGTCACTTTGTCTCTCTGATCCTCAGTTTCTTTGTCAGTAAAATGGAGACATTATGATCTCATCTGTAGGGTGTGGATGTGAAATAAGTTGTGTAGAAGACATAGTTTGGGACCTGGTATATAGTCGGTACTTAATAAATGTTACGTAAAAATAAAATTGCCATCATTAAGTAGTTTCTGTTAAGCACCTGTTGTACTCAGAGCGTCAGAGGTAATACAGTGGAGTACCCTGACATTTTATAGAATGACACTGTATTTTCAGTCTTTTTTTACATTAAAAAAGTAAGAAATTTGAAAATTATTGGGAATGTACCATATATAAAGTTTTGGAGTCTGGGTTTTTCACTTGATATTATAGCATGAACCTTTCCTCATGTCTTCGAATATTCTCTGCAGAAATGGTTATAAGTGGCTACATAGTTTTCCATCACTGGCTATTCTCAAATTTACTTTAATATTTTGGGGGCATTTAGGCATAGGTGGCTTTAAAAGACAATTTTCATCTGTTGGGATATAATTCTTAATTTTTCCTATTTATTAAGAATTATTACTCTATTGTTGAAAAGTTCTGAGTTGCAGGGGAGAAGGATTGACCAGTTGACCACAGGACTCCCTCCCAGTCCTATAAGTCCTTTTTAGCCCTTGGATGGGAGTAAGTGGGGGTCAAGCAGGTGTGTGTACATACATACATACATACATGTGGTGTATGGCAGCTAATTAGCTAGCCCTGAGTCACTGCCATCACCCAAGGAACCATATCAATTTCAAGCTTCATTGGAGTTCAGACAGCAAAGTAAAGATGATAACTCAATATTTTAACAAACAGGAAACATTTCAAGTCCAGCCAGACTTCTTTGACATTTTTTCTAGCTATTCAAAACGGTTGATGGCTTATTTTTCATTGACATGTAATAGAGAATGCAAGGGAATCTGTAGCGTGGCAAGCATTCCTGCTGATCTGATGCACACTTGTCTCCCCATGGGGCTGGAGCTGGCCGACAAGGTTTCACTGGCCAAAACCAAGAAGCAGGTGGGAGTCGCCTCTTACGTAAAGGCTTTGAGTTTTAGAACAAAAGGAAGAGGCTCAAAGGAGAGGAGACAGCATCTGGCCCCAGTCCTTTCACCAATTCCTCTAAAAATGATGGAAATAGACTTGGATTCTGATTTCAGTTAATTTCTGCCAAAAGAAACAAATTAGAGGTTGAAATGTGCAGCTGATCCCAAACTCTTTCCTGGGGAGGCGTGATGCTCCCCAGATGCCTTCAGGCCCTTTTGAGAAGAAAGTTATGGTCATTTCTGGCTCAAAAACATCGAGAGCTATCCCCAGTGTCTCTCTGTAGGGAGGTAGTCTTCTCCTAAAACGCTGAGCATCCTTGAATTCACTGCCTGCTCTCTGCAGCCCCACTAGATCTTGTGATTTGGGTGGTGTTTCAGGCATCAAGTAGAGCTTTCAAAGATGGGAACCTTCCTGAGGGCTGGAACTGTGTTCTGTTTCACTTTGGGCCCACCACTGGAGCGGCACTGCACCAGTCCCCCACAAATCCCCTCCGTGCACGTGTACGGAGTAAATGACTGCAGGCTGCTCTTCCTGAAACTGTAGACGTGCAAGAGGATAAATGAAAAGTGCATTATGTTTAGACCATCGTCTGGGCAGAGCAGAATTGAGACCTTTCGCACAGTTGAGTGACCCTACACAGTGCAGAAAGTTGGAGTTTGTGTATACGCCAGGTTGAAAGCTTCTGGTAGGCAGGAGCCCTCTATCAACATCCTACAGGGTCTAGCCCGCTGTTGGACCTCTAGCAGGTGCTCAGGAAATGAGAATGGTCATGTGACATTATCATGAAAGAATGAATGAGCTACTTCATTTGTTCTCCCTTGGGTCTCTAGCACTAGCTTGTACCTGGCACAAAGTGGGCCCTCAAACTATGTCAAGTAAATAAAAGGTAGATTGGTGGACACCGGGGAGAGCTGCTTTCTTTCTATCTCAGCCTGTGGAGGGTGTCGAGAGCGTGGATTTGGGCATCTGGAAGTCCAAGCCCTCCACTGACTCTAGTGGTCGCCATATGGACAACACCCCTGGACACTGAAGATCTCAGCCACCTCTCACTCTGTCTCTGAAAGTTTGCCTTCTTAGACAGTGATGTCTCCCTCTCTAGCTCTGCTGTGGGTTTCACTTGGCAATTAACCATATCCTACCTTTGAATCATATCCTTCCATTGTTAAGCTGTGACATTTGGGTCTGTGTAAATGGATACTTCTCACATTTTCACTGTTTCCCACTGGAGAGTGGCCCCAAGGGCTTATGGGCAGCGCTGTGGGTGGGGAGTCAGAGGCCTTGGCTTTGAACTCTGGCACAAGCCACTCACCCCTCTGAACCTCTGCCTGTAATGTCTGTAAAGTTGGGATAGAGGCCAAGGGTTGTTGCGAGGATGGGTGAGAAGAAGCTGTGAAACGACCTTGTAAACTGTAAGGTGTTTTACAGACATCAGGCATTTCCTGATTCTGGAGCACGGGGGCTGTTTCTCTTGTGGCGTGCATCTCTCAGGATACGAGGGGCTGCAGCTACACAGTGCTTGGAAGTACGGCCCGGCTCTTTCTGCTGTCTTTGCTCAGGGCTGTGTGCCTGCCTGCCTTTGGGGCTGGAAGCCATCTCTACTCCCTGGCTTCCAGATGCCCAAGAGGGCACCCGCTCTGTAGAGGAAGTGAGGTAAATGATAGTAGCCAGCCCTCACAAGGCCTGGCGCTGGTCTAGGCACATGACAGAGACAAATTCCTGTATCTTTCACAGTAGCCCTGTGAGGTAGGTACCAGTGTTACCCTCGTCTGCTGCCCGAGGCACCTGAGTGCGCACAGAGAGATGGAGTAAGCAGCCTAAGGTTACAGGAGTGGAGTGTGTCAGGGTCTGGATCCAGTGGGCTGGCCCCAGAGCTCTTGCTGCTAACCACGTGGGTCCCCTGAGCTGCCCTGGGGCTGGAGGACTGCACTGAAGGCCAAATGGCCCACCCAGCCTCCCCCAGCCTCAGGGCCCTTCTCCTGCCCAGGACCCCCTCTCCGCTCCTGTGCTCGGGGACCCCTTCTCTCTCCAGTAGCTCCTCTGCTGCCCTTGCTTCCCCCTGCCTTTGGCTGAAAACAGGAGATGAGCACGCTGCCAGGGCATTCTCATTCATTCCTGAAAGAACTCTACATTGTTGGGGATGGAATGGACCTCGAGAACCCTCAGGTTCAGGTTTGCTAAGAGAAAAGAGAGGCCCAGCTGGCATGGTATTGATGCCTAAACCATATAATAGTGGCACAAAAAACAATTATGCTCGTATGACTTACAAGCATGGAGGCAAAAATTCTAAACAACACATCAGCAAACTGAATCTAGCCATGTATAACAAACATCATCCATCACGCCCAAACAGGGCTCATCCCAGGAATGCAAATATGATTTAACTCTAGGAAACAGAGGCTCTGAGGGCTGCTGCCAGCCCAGGGCCCAGCCCAAGGTGCTTTTGTGGCTCAGGCTACCTTTGTGCTGTATCCTGCTCCCAGGAGGCGCTAGTGACAGTTTTTCCTTTGCCTTCACTGTTCCTCCGCCCACCCTCCCCAAAATCTTTGCAAGCCTTCGGGTAAAATGAGATATTCCATCCGAGATTTCCCTAATCGTCTCTTTCCATTTCTCCTGCAGGATTCCATGTTTTCGTTGGCCCTGAAATGCCTTATCAGTCTGTCCACCATTATCCTTTTGGGTTTGATCATCGCCTATCACACCCGCGAAGTCCAGGTAGGTGCCCTCGCCCTCCCCTCTTGCTGCAGCGGCCATTCCTTTGCTCTGGGCTAAGCCTGTCTCCACCCCACACCCATCCCCTCAGTAGCTACTTGGATGATGTCACGAGATGGTATCTGAGATAGTGGCTCTTCTCTTCCAGTTTGGACCCTGTGGGAGAGGGAATTGTGAAGCTGCCTTGTGACTTTAGAACAACTGTGACATTATCTGCATCCAGGGATCCCAGAGGCAAACACAGCTCCAGGATTTGGGGGGCAGTCCTGCTCAGAATCTTCATTTAGCACCCTTGTACTGTGAGAGCCCCTTAAGACTTACTGTGCCTTTTCTATCTCTTGCCGGATCCTTTCTGAACTTGAGCCACTGAATCCCCCAAGTGAGGTAGACCTGCCTCCTGTCCCTCTGTGCACACAAGCATGGGTGCGTGCGCACGCACGCGTACACACACACACACACACCCAGCACCAAATACCACTGGGTGTCTATATTTCTGACTGGTGTAGACTTCACCCCTGCTGGACTCTGCCAGGCTGGGAGGAGTCATTTTCTAGATAGAATAGAATCTGCTGTGGTCAAGGAGGCCTATTTCTTGCTGCCTAGGAGTGACTTGGCTTCCAGAGAAATATTGGCTGGACCTCTGGGGTGCACTCCAGTTTGGCTGATGTAGGGAGGCTGGTTCAATCTGGGCTGGGAAGGGCAGGCAAGAGTGAGCAGATCTGTAGCATCTTCTCCTGACAGTGGGTACCACCCCCCCCCCAGTCACTTGGCATCTTCAGGCTGACCTGCTCTGCTGGGGACCTGCATAGTTCTAAAGGATCCAGATGTTTTTTCTCACATGCATGTGCATCGGATATAATCCCAGTCCTTTGGCAGGAGGAGTACAGATAGATGCACATCTGGGCAGCAGGCGAGAGATGGACAAAGACCAGAACCTGAAATCTGAAGAGCTGGGGCTGTCTCGGCCGTGACCTCTTTTGCACAGTGTGTCTTTGGCCAGTTCTGTGACCTTTCTCAGCTGGAACCTGTGAACTTTTCTTCGTCTGGAACATGGAGGGGATTGTTTATTGCACTGTTGATGGGGGTTGTGAGGATGAATGAGGAGTGTATGAGAGAGAGCTCTGTTGACTGTAAAATGTCATCCCTTTTGTCACTTGGCATTTCCGGGTGGAATGGCTGCAACAGGCAGGTATGGGCACGCGCCTCCTGCTCCCGGAGAGGGTCTGCTTTCCCACCTGGTGTCAGGGGCTGCTGCAGCGGCCTGGGGGTGGGAGCCTTGGCTCCAGGCTCCTTGGACGGGCTCCACTCTGTTGATAACCAGAGGACGCTGGCCTAGAAGGCGGGGACTCTTGAGTCTCTGCAGGGACAGAGGTTGTGCTCTGAAGGCTGAGTCCCAGACGCCACCCAACACCTCCCTTCATGGGGTCTGAGCTGGACAAAGCAGGTGGGCTTTAACCCAGACCACTGTCCTGTCAACCCGAGGAAGGAGCCAGGAGTGTAAGGGAGGAGACCGGACCAGAAGTCACAGTCCGGGCTCCCAGCCAGGTTCATCCCACCCCAAACTGGCTGTGGGACCCAGGTATTTTCTCAACTCCTCTGAGCCACCACACCCTCACCTAGAGAGGGTCTGTACCACTGTGTATCACCTTGCCCTGTGCAGAAGAGGCCACACAGGCCAAAGGAAAAAAGGCAGAGTCCTAAAGCTCAGCCATGATCCAGGCCTGAAGGAGGGGGAGAAAGGAGCTGCTCCCACCCTCAGCCCCACGCGATGCTCTGCTCAGCCTGACCGCTGCTGCTCTCCACCCTGGGCGTGGGGACTGGAAGAACCAGGTGTCCCTCCCTCTGATTCTTTTGGGGTCCTTGTCCCCCAGGAGCCTTAGCTCTCAGACCTGATCCCGCCCAGCTGTCACTGTGACCTCAGTTCTGGCCTGGTGGCTGGGCTGGGTTGCTGACAGGCTGGCACCTCGCTGGCACCCTTTGTCCATCCTCAGCTCACATCCCGTCTCCGCTTCACCCTGGTCATGGGTGACAGACTTGCCAGTCACTTGTCTCCGCCTGGCCCTCCCAGCGGGAAGAAACAAAGTGAAGTCAGCAGCATTGAAACCTGGCTCAGACACTTCAGCCTGAATGACCTGGGTTGGTAACAACTTCCCTGGACCTCAGTTTCCCCATCTGAAGTACGGAAGTCATCTTACCCACTTTGCTGATCTCGGAAGAGGGTGGGTAACAGTTGACGGTACAGAGTGGGCTTTCGTGAAATGGAAACTGGTCCCTTTCCTGTGACCTCTGTCCCACTGCTTCCAGCTGGTCCTCGTTCACGTACTAGCTGTGCCCCAGAGGGTCACTGTCACGACTGCCTGGGACTGGCGGGTGGTTGCACTTCCCCCCGCTGTGGTCCAGCCCATCCTGCACCATCCACTCCCACCGCCCGGCCCCTTACCCTCCCTGGCCCACTGTCATGTGGAGTCACCCGAACCTGGCCCTCTCTGTGCCTCTTACCTGTTCAGTAATATCCTTTCTTCTGGAAAGATCTGGCTGGACTTTCTCCTGCCAGAGGGAAATGGGCCCAGTCAGCAGGGCCCTGGTATGCACTCACCTGGCCACACTGTAGTTTTCCCTTCTAGGTCCTTCTCCCCCAACCTCAGGGACAGTGATGCTATTAATCTTTGTGTTTCCAGGGACCCGTAGTGTCTCACAGAGGGCACATGTCTGCAGGGCAGATTTTGAATGAAAGGGTACTGGAGTCAAGATACCTGGTTTCCAAAGCCACTTAGACCATGACTAAGCTGTGTGGTCTTGGGCCTCAGTTTTCACATCTGCTCACTGGGGACCCTAAGCACCCCCATCCCCATTCGGCAGTTCTCTGGTGTAGGTCTGCTGCCCACCGGCTGGGGACCTGCTTCCTGAGAGCAGAAAGAAGGGTTATCCTGAGCTTGACGGTGGGGCGTATCCAGAGGGGATGCTTGAAAAACCCCTTCAGGTAGGAAAAGGCCAGCCCTGCCCACCTGTTGTGAAGCAGGGCAGGGCGGGCGCGGCGCATCTCCTCCCAGGGGCTGAGGGCCGGGGCTCGCGTTAAGGATGCACTCACCTCCTCCCTCATCCACACCAGCTGCTGGTCCGCTTGGCTGAAGTTTAGCAGGAACCAGACGACCACATCTCTACCTCCCCCCAACCTGGCCCCAGACGCTCACACCCAGGCCTGGGCCCAGCACACAGGGGAGGCGGGAGGTACCTTCTGGAAGAGTATGTCTATTTATTTAGTTTGGACAACTTGTGTTCTTGAGGAAGAAGAATTCTGAAACATTATTGGGAGGCTCTCAACAAAACCCTGGCTTCAAGTCATGAGCCTGAGGCTTGGCCGCTTCTCACAGGCAACGGGTGTAACGCTCCCCAGTGCGGGAGGCCCCCCGCTCTGTCGGCCTGCCCATCCCGGGGAGTCACTGCCCCTTGAGGGAGGCTCTCCCTGGCTGGGCAGTGAGAGTTTTTAGGAAGTCTGCCCTGCCACTGAGAGGAAACGGGCCTCCTGGGACTTCCAGTAAGCCCGGCTCTGTTCTGAAGCAGGGAAAAGGAGGCACCTGGGTTTCCCTCGAGGCAGCCTCTGTCATTTGAGGATGCCTGCCCTGTCCCTCCTCTGTCTCCTCTTCTCTTGGTGTTTTGGAGCACGGAGCTTCTAAAGGCCAGACATCTGTTCTCCTCAGGCTAGTGTGCACTGGAAAGAAGTGAAAACACAAACCCCAATGTGTTTTGGTTATTTACCAAAACTTTGAAAACTGCACTCTCCTTTGGAGAGTGCATTCACTCCTGTGGTCTGGCAATCACCAGCATCCCCAGATTGGCAGTGCCAGCCTCCTCTCCCCAGGCTGCAGGCTCACGTTTTCAGGGCCATTGGTAAGTCTCTGGCTCAACACATAAAACTCTGAGCCCTTTATTGCCCCCTCAACATCCTCCCTCCCTCCCTCCCCTTCTGACCCACCTAGGGCGTTCATTCATTCAACGTGTGCCAATGAGGGTCTGCTCTGCAGAGAGCCTGGGACAGGAGCCCAGTTCTCTGTGCTGGAAACCCTGAAATCACCTTTGCTTCTCCAAGGGGTTGCCAACCTTGAGTGACTCTGTGGCTCTAATTTAATGTCTTTGGTGCCATCCTGGAAGGCAGGAGAGCAGGAAGCTGAGAACACAGATTTTAGAGTAGCCCAGCTTGGTTCAAAGCATGCCCTTTGTCACATTGTGGTGTGTGTGGTGGCCTTTAGCAAGTGACTTAATCCCTCTGAGTCTATTTCCTTTCTGCAAAATGGGACTACTAATAGTATCCACCACAGAGTTGTTGTGCAGGTCAAGTTAGACCATCTGTGCAAAACACCGTAGCCTCAGTGAGGACGTGTCTGCCTGGCAGACAGGATGGAAAGGATGGCCTGGGCGGAGGTCTCAACAGACACCAAGGCCCTGGGATGGGAAAGTGCAGGGTGCACTCGGTATGCCTGCAGGACACAGTCCTGAGCAGTGGGGCGGGTCCACGCTGGAGCATGGCAGGACCAGCTGGAGCTCGCCTGTCTTGCTGAAGGGTTTTGGAACAGTCTGGTGGGCAGCAGGGAGAATTATGGGGAGAGAGACGATCAGATCTGCATTTTAGCTGCAGCATGGCAAGTGTTGCAAAGGCCAGTTTCAGAGGCAGGAAGATGAGTTGGAAGCACGTTTCCATGGTTGAGATGAGGGGTGGTGACACCCTGAATCAGAGCAAGACAAGAGCTGGGACGGGAGAGGCTGTGCATAACTTGGTCACCTATTAGGATGGAGGTACTGTCTGCAGGAAGAGGAGGAGTCTAGCCATTGCTTGGGTAACTCAGTGGCTGGGAGAGCCATTTATCATGATTGGAACCACAGAAGGAGGTTGAGGTGGGGAATGACCAGCAGGTCAGTTTTGGACACGTCAGAGTTGAGGTTTGGGGTTGGCGGGTGGGCATCCAGCTGCCTCCAGGACATTGACGCAGAGGCCAGGGCTGGATGAG